TCCCCTGTCCTAAGCTGCTCTACCCTGGTCGCCTTAAATCCTGTGTGTGCTTATAGCATGGCCCCAGCCTTATTCCACATGCCTGCTCTGGGGGTGTCCTCACACTCCTGCCTGTCTTTTAGCAGCTTGCTAGGGGCCGCAAAGCCAGCCCAGCCCTCGAGAGACTTTTATCCTGCCTGTCAGCAGACTGTAACCATATGATTTGCAAGACTGAGCTCTGCTCTCGGTTCCACCCGCAGGATATTGCCTTAAGAGCACCAGGGTGTGTTGCACTGATATAACAGAGCAAAATTTAGACGCTTTATTAACGGCGATTGTGCATGAAAGGGAAGATCCCCGGCCAGCTTCACAGACCTGCTGGTTTAAACCTGCCCTGCGCGCTTCCCCCGGAGCTGAGGAGAGGGGTTCACAGCAGAACCCCATTGTCGGCATTTCTTTTCAGAGAGGGGCCGGCGTGTTTGAAGCCTCCTGTGCTGTAGCCACCTCTCTCCCCTTCCTAAAAACCAGCCTAGCATATGCGACAGGTGCCAACCCTCTGTTTGATCATGTGATTGAATCAGTCTTAATTGTGGGCCTCAATAGAAAGCCTCCATACCAGATCGTTCGCACCAAGCAGGGGCATCTGCTGGTTTTCATATGGGCAGTCACTGAGAGCTGTTCCCTTCTGCTCCCTCCCCCAGTCAGCGTTGCTTCCACACGGCTCTATTCAGCTCTGATTTCTCTGCCTTGCCTGCATAAGACAAAAAGTTGCTTCCCTCCTGGTGCTCTGCCTGTAAGAGAGCTCCAGTCGTGCTGACTTGCACCCCGAATTATCTGTGCCGAGTTAACTGACCCTTCGTCTGTTCATCTCTCCCCGAGGTGCGGCTGCGTGACCATGCTGAAATCGCCCAACAAAACCACAGCGGTGAAACAGTGGGAACAACGGTGGATCAAAAACTGTCTGTGCGGGGGGCTGTGGAGGCGGATGCCCCTCAGCTATTTCTGACAGCACCTCCTGCAAGGCAGCAGCACACACTAGGAAGGGGAAAGGCAGCCAAGAGCAGGCTCAGAAACCTCTCAGGGCTGGGGCCGGAAGAGATCTCTGGAACCCGGAGATCGCGTGCATTGCCCTTCGTTATCAGCCGAAGAGATGAGACGCAGCTTTTAGGCCCTCCTTTGTTTTCCCTGAATTCATTTTACTTCCCTGCACTTCTGTGCTCCAAGGTGAAAGGAAACGAGGGTTTTGAACAGGACAAGCAGTCTTGCCAGAAGGTTTTATGCTACCTCGTCTGGTCTTGACGGCATCAGAGAGCACGGGAAGTCAGCCACCGTGGAACCAGCAGCTCCTTTGTACATAGCTTCTCTTAAATTTTGTACCAAATGCCTCAGTAAACGTCTTTGCAAAAGCTTGTGAGCCCTTGTTTCCTTCTCTTAATTGGCTTGATTTCATGGGGGTGAGAAGGGCAGGCCTTAAAAGGCTCCAGCGTCACAGAAAAAGAAAACTAATGAAAACGCAGGGTTAGCACTTCAAGCCAGACAGACTCAAATTAGATGCGTTTTTATCAGGGAGGACGATTTATTATCAGGACAAACGGCTGAGGCTGGGACGGATTTTCCATCTCCTGGTATCTTGCAATCAGCCTTTATATGCCTGCCTGGGGAGATAAGCTATTGATGAACAGGCTGCGGAGCTCCAGATAGGGGGGAAACTGGATGAAGGTTTGGGGGCCTGAGTTATCCTGGAGATGAGGATTTTAAGGCTCTCTTCTGGGTCTTAAGAATGGGGTTTTTTGTTTTGTTTTGTTTTTTTTGATAGGGAAAACAGCTTCCAGTCCCTGCCCCAAAAACTTACAGCAGAGATGAACCGCGGACATGCCCTGCGGGTGCAGCAACCACTGATTTAATTAACTCCTGGCAGCCGCTGTCTGAAAAGAGCCCATTTGCCAGTGTTTGATATCAGGCCCATCTCAGTAATGACTTTTATAATCTGTCACCCATAGCATGGAAGCAAACTGCTGCACCCCGTCCACCCGGGACGCAAGCAGGCAGCAGAGCTGGAAAGCTGCAGCCGTTCGTGCTTGGTTACAAAAAAAAAAAAAAAGAGGCAAAAATCATTGCTGATATCCGAAGGGGAAGAAATGTTTCCCGGCTTCTGCCGGGTATTACAAGCCCCGGCAAGAGCAGCAGCTGTAGTACGCAGTCTACTCTGCCCTCCCTGCCTCTCTGTGCCCATACCCCCCCACCCCAAGGTCGCATGCGCATAGTTTCATCTTAATTAGGTGGCGGTGGGGGAAGCAGGCTACAAGTGGGCTAGGCTGTTGCCCTTGTTCGATAGCGTTCCCCTGCGTGCACTCCATCACCCGCAGTCGCACGTTAATTATGTCTGGATTGGAGCATCTGCTGCACAGCATTGCCCTGGGGTTTTTGCGGTGCAGACGGCTGGTCCTTTAGAGGCTACTTCTGTTCAGGCTGCTCCGCCCCCCCTTTTTTTTTTTTTTTTTTTTTAGGGTGTAAAGAGGGTTCTTCGCTAGGAGGAGAGTCTTTCAGGTCCCTTGGCGATGGGGCTGCAGCAGGAAACATGCTTCTCCCCTCCCCTCCATGTACGCAGGTGAAGGCAACCATGCTCGAGACTGGGCAGGCTTCCTGTGGACGGAAGAGGGCATCTCCTGCTTGGCTTTCCGTCTGCAGGACCGCTGGGGCCAGGTGAATCTGAAACCACGGTGTGCATCGTGGTGCAAGGAAGCTAAAGCAGCTGCCTGGCTAAGGTCTCACTCAACCTTTCCAGCTGCAGGCTTGCCTAGGCATCAGATCTGATGCTCTCAGTGGCACCCTAAAGCCTTCAAGTGGGCAGAAGTGGCATTTCTGGGCAATCCCCCTGGCCTTGCCAGCCACCGAAGTAACCATCGAGGCTCTCCATAGCTGCTGGCTCTGAGGCGCTGCCATGATTCCCTGGTCTCTGCTGCTGAGGACCGTAGCAAGCGGAGTTAAACCAGGTCCATGCAGCTCAACCATCACCGCTGCATCGGCCTGGAGTGCAAAACCCTCCCACCCCCCTTGTCACATAACATTGCCTAGAAAGCCGAGGCAGACGCGTGCAGTATCACCACCCCCCTGGGTCAAAAATCATGAGACCAGGTTAAAAAAAACCCATTAAAATCAAGAGATTTAGGATGTAACTCATGAGATGCTATTTTTGAAGCAGGCGTGCGGTTCCCAGGGCAAAGAGCCCCAGCCCACAGTGGGCAGCCTGCCCCTGCCCCGTGCACAGATCTGGGGCAGGGCACGTGCCCCCCATGCCTCCATTCACCGCTGCCCCGCTCCCTCCTTCACCGTGGGGGACCTCGATCTGCCTCCCTTGCCCCTTCCCTTAGTCAGCTTGGCACTCCACGCGCGCCAGAAGACAAAATGAGAGATCAAATCTCGGGAATCACAAGGCTGAGTTCATCTGACTTGGAAGTCAGGGGTCTCGTGATTGTTTTTTTTTCCCCTCCCCGTGAGAGTTGGCATCACTGCATGTGCTAGCGGGAGAGTTCAGGCAGGGGGGCAGGAAAACTATGGCCCTCCCCTGCGGGTTGGGGCTGACCTGGTTATGCCCCCAGCTGCTGTTATGGGCTACGTTCGAGTGGCCTGAATCAAAAGCCCGTGTGTCCAGGGAACGCGGAGGCCCACACTCCCATGCCCGATTGCCCGTGGACATTGCCTGCACCCCACGTCCGTTTGAGTTGCCCTGCCCGTGGCTGCGGAGGTTCGTTGGCCAGTGGTACCTGCAGGGCAGAGAGCAGAGGCCCCCGCACTCTCTTCCTTACGGCCGCTGATCATCGCAGAAGGGAAATCTTCCTCGTGCAGCAGCTTGGAGTAACCCCCGGCGCCGAGTGAAGCTACTAGGAGTTGAGAGTCCTGACCTGTGCTTTAAATTGGTCGTTAGCCGTCCTCCTCCCATGTCTGGGGGGTGAATTGCAGCAAAGCTGTTTCACCTGGGCTAGGAGGGGGCCTTGGCACTCTAGGGCCAGGAGCTAAGGAGTTTAATGAGCCACAGGTGTGTCCTAGCGGGCCTCTCTGGGGCTGGATTGCGGGGAGATGGGCTGGTTGGGACACCAAGGAGGGGTCTAGGGTACCTGAATACCCGGAGACCTCGTGATGTTCAGGCCCTTTCAGAATCGGGCCCCTCGGCTGCCCCAGCTCGCTAGCCCCGCTCTCTCCAGGCCTCGTTTCACAAAATGAACCAGACTTTTTTCCCTCCCCTCCCTCCTCCTGGGAAGCCACTTTTATTTAAAATTCAGAGCGCTTACGGAGCGCCCGGCCCCCTCGCTCCTCCGTTCAGTGCTGGGCTGGCGGCGCCTGGGCGTTGCTTATCGTATAATTAAGGGAAACCAAATGGCTAATTAGGGAACTGCAGCTTCTCCCGAAAGCTTTTCATCTTCTAGCGCGACACGGCAATCCGTCGCAACCTCATTTCATTTTCTTGCCCCATCGCTGCCATCCGGCGTGTGAGACCCGGCCCCTGGGGCCTCCTGGGTTGAGCTGGGCACCGGCGCTGAATCGCAGCCAGGCCCTTCTCCGGTGACCATCTCTCCAAGGGTGCACGGAGCTGGTCCCACCGCTCCTACGGCGTGTTTGTCCCGGAGTAGGAGTGACCGCGCTTCATCAGGACCAGCGCTCTGCCGGGTAAGTGATGGGCCCAAGTCTGCGGCAGGCAGGTGTGGGTCTCAAGCCAGTGCCCTGACCATTGACCCCAGCCTAATGCCCCTCTCCTCCCCAGTGGGCTTCCTTGCATCACTAACGACTCCCATAAAGCACAACCCGGGACCTACCGTCCCTAAACCACGAGGGCAGAGCGATTCAGCCTGCGCTCTACCCAGCTGGGCACGTGTCTGTCCCCTTTATACCAGTGCCCCTGCGTCTGCGCTAGGTCTTGGCCTGGTGAAACCCCCTCGGGGGTTCGTGAGCTGCCGTCGTCCCCCAGCACACAACGTACAAGCAGGCCTGGCCTGAGAGCGATGCCATGACGGTCCAGGAAAGGATGCAAGAGGCAAGGGGTTTTTTGGGGGTGATCTCTTCCTGCGCTGTAGTTGGCATAGAGTTAGACAAGCTGTTGGTGCCAGGAGACCTTCCTAGGGCCGGGATTTCTTCTTTTAAATGAGGGATGAGGGTGCTCTCTTGTGCCAGCTCCGTGAAATGCTGCGTGTCCTGTGCTGTCGAACTCCGCAGCTGGGTGGACCGGTTGGGAGCCGTCCCCGTGACGTGCTCGGGGTGCAAGTGGGGTCCTGGCTAGGACAGGTCCCAGCATCTCCTTCCCTCCCTCCCTCCGGTGACGCACACTCCCTTTCCTGACCCCTCTCCGGTCACGTTGACCCTGGAAGCAGAGGCAGGGTGGATAACGACTTGTCCTGATCTTTGTATGACCTGGGTTATAGCCTTAATCTACCCCCCCTGCCCCAAATAGCCTTACCTGCAGGCAGTTGGGAGAGCTGCTCTCTCTGGGGCTGTGTTGCCAGCCCCCCTGCGGCCCACTCCCCCAGCCCCTTGAAGGCTGAAACGCTGCCAGCCTGCCAGGGGAAACCCACCCTTTCCTGCGTCTTTCTGCAGCAAAAGGAAAACCCGGATCCCAGCATGTTCCTGGGAATCCGGGACAAATGCTGTCCCGGAGTCACGCAGCCCGGGACTGGGACTTGGTGTTCCCATTTCGGGACTGTCTCGCCCAATTAGAGATGGGTGGTCACCCTACCCTTTTCCCGAGGGGCCCACACGTACTCGGTGCCGATGCTTGCCCTGTTTCGAAGGAGGGAGGGCCAGTGGCCTGCTCGGGTTTCCCTGCAGAGCCACAGCCCATGCCATGGGGCAGCACCTACTGGGCTTCTCTGATGCCCCTTCTGTTAGCGTGAGACAGGCAGTGAGTCCCCCCCACTCCATGCAAAGACAGCCTTTAGAGACTCGGTGACATGACTGTGGTCATAGGGTCACCCAGTGGCAGAGCACAGCTTGGAAACCCACGTCCCCAGCCAGCACCTGCGCTATCAGGGCAGCGAGGGACCAAGCGCATCCTTAGATGGACCCTGGGGAGTCATTCTCCCCAGTTCCTGGGGTAACCGTGGCCCTGGCAACCGTCTCTTTGGTGCCAGCCCTGAGCAACGGGCACAGAGGTAGCTGGCAGGCGCTGTGCTCCCCCTCCCCAGTGCACACCGTGGTCTGGGGGACCCTGGCACTGTGCGTAGACCTGGGGACCGGGGTCCCGTTCCCCTCTGGCAGGCTCAGCCGGGTTTGCGGCTGTGTCCTTGCAGCAGGGCATTGCTCTGCTCTTTGCCAACAGGAGAGACCCGAGCCCTTGGTTTCTGCACGTGGTAGTTTTATTGGTCCGGCTGATTGCAGGCCCCCTCCCTGTCCGGAGCTGGCAGAAGCAAGGCGGGCA